TAATGATCAAGGGATCAATCCAAGAAGAAGATATAACAATTATAAATATATATGCACCCAATATAGGAGCACCTCAATGCATAAGGCAACTGCTAACAGCTGTAAAAGAGGAAATCGACAGTAACACAATAATAGTGGGGGACTTTAACACCTCACTTACACCAATGGACAGATCATCCAAAATGAAAATAAATAAGGAAACAGAAGCTTTAAATGACACAATAGACCAGATAGATCTAACTGATATTTATAGGACATTTCCATCCATAAACAGCAGATTACACTTTCTTCTCAAGTGCACACAGAACATTCTCCAGGATAGATCACATCTTGGGTCACAAATCAAACCTCAGTAAATATAAGAAAATTGAAATCATATCAAACATCTTTTCTGACCACAATGCTATGAGATTAGAAATCAATTACAGGGGAAAAAACGTAAAAAACACAAACACATGGAGGCTAAACACTACGTTACTAAATAACCAAGAGATCACTGAAGAAATCAAAGAGGAAATCAAACAATACCAAATGACAATGAAAACATGACACACGACGACCCAAAACCTATGGGATGCAGCAAAAGCAGTTCTAAGAGGGAAGTTTATAGCAATACAATCCTACCTTAAGAAACAGGAAACATCTCGAATAAACAACCTAACCTTGCACCTAAAGCAATTAGAGAAAGAAGAACAAAAAAACATAAAGATCAGAGCAGAAATAAATGAAATAGAAACAAAGAAAACAATAGCAAAGATCAATAAAAGTAAAAGCTGGTTCTTTGAGAAGACAAAATTGATAAACCATTAGCCAGACTCATCAAGAAAAAGAGGGAGAGGACTCAAATCAATAAAATTAGAAATGACAAAGGAGAAGTGACACAAGACACCACAGAAATACAAAGCATCCTAAGAGACTACTACAAGGAACTCTATGCCAATAAAATGGACAACCTAGAAGAAATGGACAAATTCTTAGAAAGGTATAACCTTCCAAGACTGAACCAGGAAGAAATAGAAAATATGCACAGACCAATCACAAGTAATGAAATTGAAAACGTGATTAAAAATGTTCCAACAAACAAAAGTCCAGGACCAGATGGCTTCACAGGTGAATTCTATCAAACATTGAGAGAAGAGCTAACACCCATCCTTCTCAAGCTCTTCCAAAAAATTTTGGAGGAAGGAACACTCTCATACTCATTCTGTGAAGCCACCATCACCCTGATACCAAAACCAGACAAAGATACTACAGAAAAAGAAAATTAGCGACCAATATCACTGATGAATATAGATGCAACAATCCTCAACAAAATACTAGCAAACAGAATCCAACAGCACATTAAAAGGATCATACACCATGATCAAGTGGGATTTATCCCAGGGATGCAAGGATTCTTCAGTATATGCAAATCAATCAGTGTGATACACCATATTAACAAATTGAAGAATAAAAACCATATGATCATCTCAATAGATTCAGAGAAAGCTTTTGACAAAATTCAACAGCCATTTATGATAAAAACTCCAGAAAGTGGGCATTGAGGGAACGTACTTCAACATAATAAAGGCCATATATGACAGACCCACAGCAAACATCATTCTCAATGGTGAAGAGCTGAAAGCATTTCCTCTAAGATGAGGAACAAGAAAAGGATGTCCACTCTCACTGCTATTATTCGACATAGTTTTGGAAGTCCTAGCCTCGGCAGTCAGAGAAGAAAAAGAAATAAAAAGAATACAAATTGGAAAAGAAGAAGTAAAACTCTCACTGTTTGCAGATGACATGATACTATACATAGAGAATCCTAAAGATGCCACCAGGAAACGAGCTAATCAATGAATTTGGTAAAGTTGCTGGATACAAAATTAATGCACAGAAATCTCTTGCATTCCTATACACTAATGATGAAAAATCTGAAAGAGAAATTAAGGAAACACTCCCATTTACCACTGCAACAAAAAGAATAAAATACCTAGGATTAAACCTACCTAAGGAGACAAAAGACCTGTATGCAGAAAACTCTAAGACACTGATGAAAGAAATTAAAGATGATACCAACAGGTGGAGAGATATACCATGTTCTTGGATTGGAAGAATCAATATTGTGAAAATGACTATACTACCCAAAGCAATCTACAGATTCAATGCAATCCCTATCAAGTTACCAATGGCATTTTTTATGGAACTAGAACAAAAAATATTAAAATTTGTGTGGAGACACAAAAGACCCCAAAGAGCCCAAGCAGTCTTGAGAGAAAAAAACAGAGCTGGAGGAATCGGACTCCCTGACTTCAGACTATACTACAGATCTACAGTAATCAAGACAATATGGTACTGGCAGAAAAACAGGAACATAGATCAATGGAGGAGGTAGAAAGCCCAGAGGTAAACCCACGCAACTATGGTCAACTAATCTATGACAAAGGAGGCAAGGATATACAATGAAGAAAAGACAGTCTCTTCAGTAAGTGGTGCTGGGGAAATTGGACAGCTACATGTAAAAGAATGAAATTAGAACACTCCCTAACACCATACACAAAAATAAACTCAAAATGGATTTGAGACCTAATCTTAGAGGAAACCGTAGGAAGAACACTCTTTGGCATAGATCACAGCAAGATCTTTTTTGATCCACCTCCTAGAGTAATGGAAATAAAAACAAAAATAAACAAATGTGACCTAATGAAACTTAAAAGCTTTTGCACAGCAAAGGAAACCATAAACAAGACAAAAAGACAACCCTCAGAATGGGAGAAAATATTTGCAAACGAATCAACGGACAAAGGATTAATCTCCGAAATATATAAACAGCTCATGCAGCTCGCTATTAAAAAAACAAACAAGCCAATCCAAAAATGGGCAGAAGACCTAAGTAGACATTTCTCCAAAGAAGACATACAGATGGCCAAGAAGCACATGAAAAGCTGCTCAGCATCACTAATTATTAGAGAAATGCAAATCAAAACTACAAAACTACAATGCAAATCACACCAGTTAGAATGAGCTTCATCTGAAAATCTACAAATGACAAATGCTGGAGAGCATGTGGAGAAAAGGGAACCCTCTTGCACTGTTGGTGGGAATGTAAATTGATACAGCCACTATGGAGAACAGTATGGAGGTTCCTTAAAAAGTAAAAATAGAATTTCCATATGATCCAGCAATCCCACTACTGGGCGTATACCCTGAGAAAACCATAATTCAAAAAGAGTCACGTACCAAAATGTTCATTGCAGCTCTATTTACCAGGACATGTAAGCAACCTAAGCGTCCATCAAAAGAAGATGTGGGGCTTCCCTGGTGGCGCAGTGGTTGAGAGTCCGCCTGCTGATGCAGGGGACGTGAATTTGTGCCCCAGTCTGGGAGGATCCCGCATGCCACGGAGCGGCTGGGCCTGTGAGCCATGGCCACTGGACCTGTGTGTCCGGAGCCTGTGCTCTGCAGCGGGAGAGGCCGCGACGGTGAGAGGCCCAAGTACCACAAAAAAAAAAAAATGTGGCACTAATATACGATGGAATATTACTCAGCCATAAAAAGGAATGGAACTGAGTTATTTGTAGTGAGGTGGATGGACCTAGAGACTGTCATACAGAGTGAAGTCAGAAAGAGTAAAACAAATACTGTGTGCTAACACATATATATGGAATCTAAATAAAAAAAGAAAAAGAAAATGGTCAGAAGAACCTAGGGGCAAGGCGGGAATAAAGATGCAGACCTACTAGAGAATGGACTTGAGGATATGGGGAGGGAGAAGGGTAAGCTGGGACAAAATGAGAGAGTGGCATGGACATATATGCACTACCAAACGTAAAATAGCAAGCTAGTGGGAATCAGCCACATAGCACAGGGAGATCAGCTTGGTGCTTTGTGGCCACCTAGAGGGGTGGGATAGGGAGGGTGGGAGGGAGGGAGATGCAATAGGGAAGAGATATGAGGACATATGTATATGTATAACTGATTCACTTTGTTATAAAGCAGAAACTGACACACCATTGTAAAGCAATTGTACCCTAATAAAGATGTTAAAAAAAAACCAAAAAGGCACATGCACCCCAATGTTCATTGCAGCACTATTTACAATAGCCAGGTCATGGAAGCAACCTAAATGCCCATCGACAGACGAATGGATAAAGAAGATGTGGTACATATATGCAATGGAATATTACTCAGCCATAAAAAGGAATGAAATTGGGTCATTTGTTGAGACGTGGATGGATCTAGAGACTGTCATACAGAGTGAAGTAAGCCAGAAAGAGAAAAACAAATATCGTATATTAACGCATATATGTGGAACCTAGAAAAATGGTATGGATGAACCGGTTTTCAGGGCAGAAATTGAGACACAGATATAGAGAACAAACATATGCACACCAAGGGGGGAAAGCAGCGGGGGGGTGGTGGTGGTGGTGGTGTGATGAATTGGGCTCTTGGGATTGACATGTATACACTAATGTGTATAAAATGGATGACTAATGAGAACCTGCTGTATAAAAAAAAAAGTGATCAAATGTATTTTATTGGAAAGAAGCAAACATAGACCATATTTACTGTCCAAAAAAAAATATATATATATATATATATATTTTGATCTTTAATAAAAAAATCAACAGAAATTAAAAATTCACCTTTGACCTTACTCAAAGCTAGATCCCTCTCCTGAGTTAACTACTGGTTTATTATGTAGCTTTTAAAGACCTTTTCTAATGCATTCATATACTTCTGAATGTTTGAAATATTAAATATTATTTTGCTTTATTGAGGTGGGTCTTTCCACATGTATGGATACTATATGTATTTGTGGAAATTGTTGAACACAGTTTTACTCTGTCTCAGATTGTATTTTAATCAAGGCAAAATGTTGAAATATTATAAGGAACAATGCTTGGAATACCAAAAGAAAAAAATTGACACCAAGATTTATAAATTCGGAATTGGGGCCTAGTGATATTTTAATAACTTAAATATTTTTTGTTGTTGCTTTTTTTTTTTTAAATTAGGAGCCCATGAAATCCAGAGCACCACAACTACATTTGGAATACAGATTCTACAAGCAGTTAGGATCTGGAGGTAAAGTCTTATATTAATTTTTTAATTTGTAATAAAACGGATTGTCATGATAAGAACTCTGTGGTTTCAAAGAATAGTATGTTAAATTTAGTTAATATTAATCACTTCTTAAGGCAATGCTTAGTAGATATTTTCTTACTACAGTCTTCCCTTTTTATTGTAAATATGACATTTTTAGAGCTTTTTGTGTTGGTACTAATATAAATAGAGAACATTGTAAAAAAATTTAATTTGAGAATATAAGGTGCATATAGTTTCCAGGTGCTTGGCCTTTTTGGTGGTATTATAGTTATTGAAATGATTTATGACATGGTGGTAGGCTGAAAAATGGCTGCATAAAAAATATCCATATCATAATCTCTGGAATCTGTAAATGTTACCTTATAGTAAAGACTTCACAGGCATGATTAAGTTAAGGATCTTGAGATCAGGAGGTTATTCTGGGTTATCTGGGTGGCCCCTAAATGCAGTCACAAATGTCCTTGTAAAAGAGAGTCAGAAGAACCATTAACGTACACAGAAGAGGAAAAGGCAAAGTGGCTACCGAGGCCAAGATTGGAGTGATACAGCCATAAGCCAAGGAATGCTGGCAGCCATGAAAACCTGGTATAGGATTGTCCTATAGAACCTCCTTGATTCAGCCTGTTGAAACTAATTTCAAATGTTTGGCCTCCAGAACTGTGAGAAATAAATTTTTGTTATTTTAAGCCACAGGTGTGTAGTAATTACAGTGGCTGTAGGAAATTAATACAGGTATATTTTTACATAAACTCTAAATCTAAGTGAGAATGGATATTTTGTGCCATTGAAAAAAAGTAATGAGAAAATTTCCCATTTTTCGTTGCATTTACTTCATGTTAACGTTTCTCTCAACTCCACTTTTCTGTTCACTACTATTCTAACTGTAATGATTTTATACATACAGTTTCTTATCAAGTAGGGATATTTTGTTTCACCAGATTTAATAAAATGGAATTTTTTGATGTATTTTTTTGTAAGCACATGTTTACATTCTACTTGGTAGAGTTGTACATTTTAAAATACATTATCAATTCTGCATTCTTTTTTTTTCTAAGAGCATACTTTTGAATGAGTAGTCATTGTGGGGACAATAAGTTGACATTCTGTAATAATGTTTTGTCATTATAAACGTTCTGTAATGCATGTTTAAGTCTGATACAGACAGACCTCCAGGACTTATCAAAATTATCACTGACAACTGAGATGTAAATGATAAGGGGACACAATTATATGTGAAACCATACATATTAGTTAGGACTGGCAAGTGACAGAGAGCACTAAGAAGCTAAGTGGAAAAGAAAAAAGGAGTTTATTGACTTATGTACTGTAAATTCAGGGAAAGGACTTATCTATAAGACATTGCAATACTGTCATCAGGGACATTGCTGAGTTTGTCTTTATGCTCTGCCTTTTTGTGTGTGTATAAGCTTTTTTCTCTGATTGGCCCTTCTTATGAGACGGCAAAGGTGCTTACCAACAGCCCAGCTTAGCAATTTTAAAAGTATCTGTTAACTAAAAATTTCAGCAAAAGTTCTAGGACTGAATCTTACTGTCTTATTTTGTGTCTAATGATTTAATCACTGAATTTGATTGCCCAGACTTACTCATCTCAGGCACTACCTGTGAAGTTCAGGGACTGAGACTGGGGAGAGGTGTTGTCTAATGGGAAATTGAGGTGTTACCAGAAGAAGGAAGATTGGATGCTGGGGAGATGAAAATAAGAGATCTATCTACTTAAGTAGTAAAACTATCATTTGGAAAAATAGGATTGAATACTTTAATTGGATAAGAATGAATAAGTTAATTTGGAGTTTAGGGAGTCATTGAATACCATGGTGCACTTACTTTTATTATTATATTCTTTACTTTTTTTAACTTTAAAATTTATGTCAGGGTTAGTAATAATAAAGTGGAACATACATCTGTTAGCACTTGAATGCCAAAGGGCTGTTGTGCCCCACGACTCCAGGGACCGCCATTTAGTCTGCATATATAAGGGTGCTCCCCTGTACTCCAGGGCATAGCACTTACATAAATTGAAATATGAGTGTTATTGCTTGAAGGTGTGTGTAATGGTGGCTCTGAAACTCTGACAGGTGTGTGTAGTTTTGAGTGTTTCACGTGAATCATGTGAATTTTAGTTACTTGTTAGTGTTTTTATTGATCATGAATTTTAAAAACATTTTTGAGTACTCGTGAGCTTTATAGAAAAACAAGTGTTTAATTGTTTTGAGGAGAGACTGATGACTTAAAAAATTATTTGATTTTGGAATTGCTACTTGAAAGGATTGTATTTTCAGACTGCTCTTAATCATAAGTGGGGCATTCATAGTAATTTATAATTCTTTTATGATATTGTAAGTTTCATTTAAGTAGCAACTTGCTTGTTAGTGTTCTCTTTAAAAATAGATATACTGGGCTTCCCTGGTGACTCAGTGGTTAAGAATTCACCTGCCAGGGCAGGGGACATGGGTTTGAGCCCTGGTCCGGGAAGATGCCACATGCTGTGGAGCAACTAAGCCCGTGCACCACAACTACTGAGCCTGCACTCTAGAGCCTGTGCTCTGCAACAAGAGAAGCCACCGCAATGAGAAGCCCGTGCAGCACAACAAAGAGTAGACCCCGCTCTCTGCAACTAAAGAAAGCCCGCGCACAGCAACGAAGACCCAGTGCAGCCAAAAATAAATAAAATAAATAAATTTAAAAAATAGATATATTTAATCAATATTCAGAATATATAAAGAAGTCCTAAAACTCAACAGCAAAAATACAAACAATCCAACTTTAAAGTGGGCACAGAACTTGAATAGACATTTTTCTAAAGAAGATAGATATACAAATGGCCAATAAGCACATGAAAAGATGCTGAGTATCACAAATCATTAGGAAAATGTAAGTCAAAACCACAAAGACATACCGCTTCACACCCATTAGGGTGGCTGTTATTAACTAAATAAAGGAAAAGCAAACCGAAAACCAGTAAACAACTAGTGTTGGTGTGAATATGGAGAAATTGGAATCTTTGTGCATTACTGGTGGGAATGTGGATTGCTGCAGCTGCTGTGGAAAACAGTACGACTGTTCCTCAAAAAATTAAACATAGAATTACCATTTGATTCAGCAGTTCCACTTCTAATTATATGCATAAAAGAACTGAAAGCAGGGACTTAAACAGATAGTTGTACACCCATGTTCATAGCAGTGTGATTTGCAATAGCCAAAAGGTGGAAACAACTTTGAATGGATGTACAAAGTGTGGTTTTATACATAGAAGGGAATATTATTCAGCCCTATAAAGGAAGGAAATTCTGACACGTGCTACAGTATAGAGGAACCTTGAGAACGTTATGCTAAATGAAGTAAGCTAGTCACAAAAGGACAAATGCTGTGTGATTCCACTTTTTGACATACCCAGAGTAGTCAGATTCATAGAGATGGAATGCAGAATGGTGGTTGCCAGGGGATGAGAGGAGAGGGGAGTGGGAAAATATTGTTTAATGGGTATAGAGTTTCAGTCTGGGATGATGAAAAAGTTCTGGAGGTGGGTAGTGGTGGTGGTTGCACAACAATGTGACTATACGTGATACCACTGAACTGTACATTTAAAAATGGTTAAAATGATAAATTTTCTATTATGTATATTTTGCCACAGCAAAAGCAAATTAAACCAGAATTATTTAGAATTATTTACTGAGATATCTGTGAAATAATATACAGTCTATCTAGTTCTACTCTCTAGGTTTTGATTCTCTTGTAAGTCTTTCTCCTTATCTAACCTCCCTGGCAGTATCCCACTTTTCTCTCTTATTTGTTCACTGAATCTGTTACATATATACAGTAGGACTGTACAGCCTTACTGCAGTGTGCCTATGAGGGTTGACTCTTTATATTATTTATAGCTTTCCATAGGATTAGAGTATTGTTTTCACCATTATCACTTTCTCTGATAGCAAAAATTTAATGTTTCAAATGGTCTTGTTTTGTAATATCCACTCAGCATTTATTGAGTAAAATGAAGATCTAGATTTGGGAGTCATCAACACATAGGTGGTTTTTAAAGCTAAGGGAATGGATGAGTCCTCCCATAGGAGAGTGTAGAGAGTGTCAAGAGAAGAGGAACATAGGCAAAACCATGATGACCACTGCATTGGGTAGGAATAAGTTTGACTGTCAGTATCAAAAATCATGACAGCAGTAGCTTAAACAAGTAAAGCAATGTTATGTGAGGAAAAATAAACAAGGAGTCCTGAAGTAGACAATTGTAGGATTGATATGGCTACACAGAAGTAAGGAATCAGGCTCACTCTAGCTTCTTCCTTCTGTTTTTCGTATGTGGCTTTCATTTTTATGATTCTGGATTTTTTTGTAACAGGAGGGAGGAAGGAAAGGATGAAATTACCACCTTTTTAAGGATAATTTCCAATTCTTTATCCTGGCCTTCATTCTTAAAATCTAGTCATACATGTATGTCCCTACTAGAATCAGCAATTCTATATACCCAGAATTTCTCTCCCTATCTTCTTTCCCCTTACTTTTCCAATGATTTCTCTCTCTTCCAAAAGACCTGTTTGTTTTTCTGGATTATCTTGTTCCATTAGTGGCTCACCCATTCAAGCTGAAAGTGTTAGTCACCTTTAATTTTGACTTTTTGGGTTAACCATCAAAAAGGTCCGTCAGTTATGTCTCTTAAGAGATCTCTTGACTTCATTCTCTTCTCCCAGTCTTCATTGTCACCTTTTTTTTGAATTGGCTTCTTTTTGTGCATCTCACTTCCTTCTTCCCTCCATTCCTCTTAGAGACTTGTCATTTAGTATAAAGTCCACATTTCTTTCTCTTTCTATTTGACCCACTTTTTAGTTGCACTAAACTTAGTGTTCTCTGAATAGATCTTATTATTTTCATATATCTGTATTCTTCTTTCTGGAATGTCTTTCTTTCTCAGTGAATTTCTTCTTTCTTCAGTCCCCAGCTGAAGTGTC